ATCACACCCTCAGCTTTTCACTGCTACAGCCCTAACTGCTATGTGTCATCCAATACAATTTTTCCAAAGAAATGAATTGCAAATTTACAACCTCCAGCATCAGTTGAGCCTCTGCTGCTGCTTCCTGCTTGATATTGTCTGAAGTTCCTTGATTACCTCCCAGAGTTGGGTTCCGCCTCCTCCACCAAACTCAAGCTCCCCACCAATAACCCACCTGGGTGACCGCAGGCCACACAAACCAGCGTGGGTCAGACTGGTCGTTAGAGCCAGTGGCAGCCTGTATCACTTAAGAAAAAGTAGATCATGCTTGGAAAAGCAGTAACAATATTTCTTCGACACTGCTGAGTACTTCCTGCCTGAACTCACTGAATCCTGACACCCCAGGCCATGAGGCTGACAATTTGATTACCCCATTCTACAGGTAGGAAAACCAAGGCTGAGAGGCAAAAGCCTGAAGTCACAGGCTGAAGAGAGGCTGAGAGAGGTGGTATGTCCATATTCATTCTTAATCTCAGCAGAAGCCCTTGGTCCCTAGTTGGTGGAAAAAATGAGGGATGTTAGAAGTGAACACCTTAACTTTCTTTCCCTCCTGTCCGAAGCCCACCTGTGGCCATCAGATAGGGGCTGGGAGCCTCCCATCCTTGTCACTGTAACTGCTCACATCTGCCCCTCAGCCACCACCTGCCCTGCAACATGCATGCTTCCAAACACTCCCAGGTTGTAAAAGCCCAGGCCTTGTCCACCTCCAAGTCCAGAGGCCTTTCTCCTTGCCTTCAGAGGCCAGGTGCCTCAAGATGATCATGTCTTGCCCAGCCTCTTCTGATGCACTACGATCTGCATTGGTAAATTGGCAAGAAATGAGTTGGTACAATCATTGATATGCGCATTGTTTTTTGGAGGGTGCAATTTGGCAGTTCTGTCGCAGTTTTAAAGGGCACCTCAGAAGATCAGAAACAATCTATGCAGCCAACAATAGGAGACATATTGAGAAGATGGTGACATTCCCTGGGAGAATACCATGCAGCTGTGAAAAAGGACAGAGGGCTTTCCTCCTTCCTGCAAGATACATTGTCAGGTGGAAAAAGCAATCTACAGAGTAAAGCAGGCAAGCAGGCTAAGTTCTAGAGAGCTTCTGAACAACATGGTGCCTGTAATTACCGATACCTTACTGTGTACTTAAATTTAAGAAGATAAACCTCATGTTAAGTGTTCTTAACACACACACACACACACACAAAACCAAAGGGACACAAGGAAACTTTTGGAGGTGATGGATGCCTACCTACTACCTTGCCTGCACTGATGCTTTCATGGGTATGTACGTATGTACAAAATTGTCAAACTGTATATATTAAATATGTGCAATTTTTTGTATATCAATCGTACCTCAATAAAGCTGTTTACAAAAATATAAAGTAGGCTGCCACGGGATAGAAGAGCCAGAAAAATGAATATACATCCATCTGCTTCTACCTGCTTGTCCGTATCTCTGAAAGAACACACAAGAAACTGGTCATTGGTCTCCAGATGGGGCTGGGAGAGACTGTGCCTGGGGCTGATTTTGGAGCCTCTTAATATGAACCCTATGAAGGTTTTGTTATGCAAAAAAAAGTTAAATTTTTAAAAGGTCAAGTAAATGAAAATAAAATGGAAACAGTCGATTCTGAAATTTTGCTGCTGGAAATGCATCACACAAGAATGCCTGCACAAGCGAGGGGGAAAAGATATATATGTGTATACTCATTCTCTGCAGCATTTTTGGTAACAGTGGAAAACTTACACAGCTACCCAACTGCTACCCAGGACCATCCTCTCAGTTTCGGTGTGGGCTGGACCTAGCGATTGCTGGAATGAACAGAATACGGCAAAAGTGATAGGTTATGGCTTCTACTATTGGGTTACAAAAAGACTGTGGGTTCCATCTTGAGTGCCCTATGAAGAGATCTACATGGCAAGAAACCAAGGGAGACCTCCAGCCAATAGCAAGCAAGGAACTGAGGACCTATGTTCAGGCACCTGTGAAGAATCAGATCCCACCAATGGGCATGTGAGCCATCTTGGAGGTGGGATTGCCCCCAGCTGAGCCTTCAGATGAGGCCACACAGCCCCAGCCCACAGCTTGACTGCCACCTCGAGAGACTCTGAGCCAGAGGCACAAGTTAACCTGTGCCTGGATTTCTGATCCAGAGCTACTGTGAGACAATAAATGCTTGTTGTGTTAAGCTACTGAGTGGTGGGATTTGTTACACATCAACAGATAGCTGCTGCAGACTAGATGGTTTGTGGGACTGAAATGTGTCCACTTAATGGACTAGTGAAAGCAACCATTTAATAACAGGACACAGAGCCACATATAACAAATAACGTGGACAGATGGCCATGACTCAAGTGAAAAAAAAACCTAAATAAAGAACAACATATAGAAACTGACCCTATTTACATAAAACATTTAAGAAACGATACATGTGTCTACAGCAGTGTTCATGTAAACTCAAATGTCACGTTGATGCACCTGCCTCTGGGGAGGAGGGTGGTGTGCTCAATGTTTCAGGCAAGAGGGGAGAATGAGGTGTGAAAGGTAGTCTGCTTTTTACTCTACACACTTCAGTGTTTCCATCTTTAAAAAAGCATTTCACTTGTGTAATCTCAATACATTTTTAGGGTTAGTTTTACGGAAAAACCCAAATGGTAGGAAAATATACACAAGTGAGTCTTGTGTACCTTGAGATATATATACTCTTTTTAAGGAGGTATCATTTTTCTCTTTATAGAGATGGGAGGTGGGCATTTTTTCTTACCCAAGACAGGTTTCCAACTATTCATGTGTAGAGTTCTAGCTTTTTCTTTTTCTTTTCTTTTCAGTTCTGTTCTGCCTCTTTTGCCTGATCTGCTCCTTTGGAAGAATTCTCACAAACTTCCCAGTCTTGCTTCCAGCTTTAGATACAGGGCCCCAAAGCAAATTTCTCCAAAATGAAATGTTTCCAACCAGTTGCTCACCCAATGACTACTTTTCACGGATGTTGTGGTGCTTCTGACAAGCTAGCATGCATTTTTAGACTCAGTTTTGCCTCCTAAAAGTGCATTCTGGCCAGTGGTAACTACCGTGGCTGAGAGCAGCTCTCCAGCGAGGAGGACTGCGCTGAGCCTGCTGGGTGCTCCATCCTACGGGGATGTCACTCCTTGGCACGTGGGGAGATGGAGGCTCAGAGAGGCACGAGGACCCGCCCAAAGCCGCAGATCTCATCGGAACAGGAGCTGGAGTCTCCACCCGGATGTTCTAAGGTTTTCACTCTTTCTTCTACTCCAGCAGTTTTAACAGTACCTCATGCCCAGAGGAAAATTTTCCAAAAAGATTTTCTCTCTTGGTGTTGGCTAGTTCTGAGACACGTTAGGTGTTGACAGCCATTGTCTACACCTGGATAGTGAAATCCAGAAGTGAGTTCTCTGTGTCTAGACCTCCCCATAACTAGGGGCTCCTTCCTACCTCACCCTGTGGCTAATATACACCCGTGACTAGATCATGACGGGCCCTTTAACTCATCTGATTAGGTGCTGAGGTCAAGAGGGCCTCAGTGGCCCCCAACAGCCAAACCACTGACTGGAAACATTTCTTTTGGATTAACTTGTCCCGGATGGGCTCAAACCTGTTTCCCTGTAGGGCGGCGCCCACCTGGGTGGGAAGGGCACAGGCTGCTCTCCACAAGGCTTCTTTCTTTTTGGCGGCTTTGGACAGTCCATCACTCTTTCCTCAAAAACACTCGGCTTCCAGAACACACTTGCCTGCTCTTGCCTTCCGGCCTGCCTAACCCTCACACGTGGGTCCTTCTGTGGCCTCTGGCCTTGTCCTCGCGTCTTCATCCTCCTGAGGTCGCAAAATGGCAGCCCAGTGGCCTCGTGAGACCCATAAGCGGAGTTTGTTTGGTCCTCACAGTGTTTGGGGGGCTTTAATTTGCGTGCCATTAGGAGGCGGGGCAAGTGCACCCCAAGTTCGCCACAGTCCCCGTCAATCCCTGTCACCTCACGCCTGTGTCCACTTCACACATTTCCATCACCTGCCTGGTCCCTGGAGCCATCTGAGTTTTCAGCAAGCCCTGCTATACATGCTGCCTGGGGAACCTCACCCACTCGCCCCACTTCGGCTGCCACCGGGGACTCCCGCTCCGTCTCTGCATCCATATCACTGAGGCCCCACCTCCCTTCCAGCCGGGGTTCACCTCCAGGGTTCTAGGGCAGGGATCGTAAACTCAAATGCCTGCAGGCGCCAGGCGGGCCACACAAATGAGTGAACTCGCCAGGTATAAGAAAAGTCGACGCTGGCCAGGAGTATAATCAAATCGAACCTTTACTGAACTATGGTGAATGCATGGAACATAATACAAACAGGCAGGAAACTGGGGTTCGTCTTTCAAATTCAAAATTGAAAAAATACAAATTGAAAAATAGAAATATTTAAACTATTAAAATGTTTTCTCTTTCCGTAATTCTTCTGCTCCTTGGGCTTGAAGCCAGGAGGCTGACCACATCCCTTCCGCACCCCAATGTCCACGGCAGACCTTGGATGTCACAGTGGTGGCAGAGTGGGGGTGCGGTGGGGACCTCAACCTTGACTCCGGAAACTGAGAGCAGGGTTTCATTTGATTCAGTTTTGTAACAGAAAAATGGCTGTTCACAAGTGAGGATGCTTCCAAACATGGAGACTCAGGGCAATGACTGGAGAGAGGTGGAGGGCTGGAATCTTCCATCCAAATCCCACCTAGGAACCAGCGGCCCGCTGCCCTGGAACCCGGTGACTCCTATCTGCGGTCTGCATTCACGTGATGGAGGTTAGCCAACAGAGACAAACTGGACAGTGTTAGTTCATTTTCACAAAGTCTGGGTGCAGAGAGCCTTGTGGGGAATGTGGTCTTTGACCCCACAATCTGGGTGCCTGTTGTCTGGACCACGTTCTTCATTTCTGGACACCAACTGCAGCAAAGAAGAGGGAGTCAGGATGTCCCCCATTTTTTTTTGCCAGGACCAGGTGAATACGATCATACATTCAAGTAGCTGTTTGTGAACGTCCTTGCAGAGAAAAAAGAGTGTCTGGGAAGGTGGAAACTTCAACCAACAGTCTTTGACTGACCTTCTTGTGGGAACCAAGGTGTGGCTTTGGCCTTGTCTGAAATGAGAGAGTAGACTGAATGCAGTGGTTCAGATTTCTTCCACACAACCCGTGATGATCGGGTCACAGAACAACTATCAAATACATCGGGGCAAGTTCACCACCAACCTGCCCATGGTTAAGGTACAGAAGCGTGGTGAGGAAGTCCATGGTGTGTTCTGCTGACATTCTTAGCACAGTTTGATGCCTGGTGATGGATGCAACGACCTGGCTGGTATTCTTGACAAATGTCACCTGAGATGGAGGCATCCTGCCCGGGTCCCCCATGACACTGACGGCTGGGTCGCCACCATGGTCTGGAGCCATGTTCAGGCCTCTGGACTGGTCTGGGCGAGACTGTGCTTTTCTCAGTACACAGTACAGAACGGCTCACTTCTCAGTGTCGGGCCTGCCTTGTCAAGCTGGAGTTCTCCACACCACAAATAAATAAAGCTAACTGGGTGGTTGTAGTTCATGAGCAGCGATAGAAAAGGCCACGATTGATTTGACTCTTCAAGCCACTGTCACTTGGGACATCTTCGGACCTGTCCTCACCTCCCCGTGTGACGCGAATGTCGGCTACACTGAAACGACGGTCCAGATGGACGCGGGTTTCTGTCTGGGTCACATTGTTTCTGCTCCTTTACAAATTCGCCTGTCGAGGGGGTTTTAATGCCCCAAAGAGGGGGAGTCTTTCAATGCGGTTCCCTCACCGCTGCGCCTACATCTGCTTCCCAAAGCGAAAGCCCTACTGACACTTGAGGCCCTTTTTCAGTTCGTTGAGGATCGCGTCTCGCGTCTGCTCCGTGTACTGGTCGAAGCTCTTACTGTGCTTGGACTCATAGTGACGCCTCAGGTTGTACTCTTTCAACACAGACACGATTTTTTTGCATATTAGACACGTGGGCAGGCTCTTCACCTCCACAAAGAAATAGGCTCGCTCCCATTTCTCGCGAAACACGTGGCCCTCGCGTTCTCTCTTTCGTTTTGCCACTTTTGGTAGAGACATGGGTACAAGAAAGATTTCACTGTCTCCGAATGCCACCACAGGAACCACAACAGTGCAATCCCCGGGCCAAAGGCAAGGGCCTTCCGCCTCGTGCCGGGGGAGGCAGGAGGGAGTGGTGGGGACTGTGGCGAACCAGAGAGCACCTGCCCTGCAGAAGGGGGCAGCTCCAGCCGTTGTGGCTAGGCAGAAGGGCGGGCCCAGGGGTGCCAGATCTTCTGACTTGTGAAGAGAAGTCAAGACTGCAGATTTTGTGTGTGTGTGTGTATGTGTGTGTGTGTGAGCTTGAAAGTGTGTGTAAATTACCCCGATTTTTACAGCTAACTCGTTAGGAAAAAATGCCACATATGCTAACACAGGGAAAACCAAACAAAACTCAACTGTAGAGTGGCCCACGGGCCACCAGATTGCAACCTCTCCTGGGATGGGGCCCAGGAATCTGATGTTAACCAGCATCTCAGACAATGTGGATGCCAGTGGTCCAGCCAGGGACCACACTCTGAGCAACACTGGCCTAGGGTCTGACAACAGACAACTAATTCTCTGCCTCCAGGCCGGAGCGCCCCTGTGCTCCAGACCTGGGTCTGTATCCCGCCATCCCCTGGACGTTTCTCTAAGGACGTCCGTCAGGCCCCTGGCCTCACTACCTCTCAAAACTGTTCCCCACGGGGTTTCACACCTCCAGGACGGCCCCATGGTCCACCCTGTCCAAGGCTCTGGAAGGTCAGTTTCTGATGGGGACCCTCTCCACATGAGATCTCATCCACTCCTGTAGCTATAACCACCAGATACACACTGTCCCCTAAGGTCACACGTCATGGAGGAGCTCCCCACACAGCCTGTCACTCGGATATCCTTAGACCATCAGCACTCACTACTGGCTCCTTCTCCCAGCTCCCGACCCCAGGGAGGCCCACCTAAGGGAGGCCCACTGTCTACCAGCACCTGCCCCTGACCCCACCCCTACACTCCCAACTTTCTTTGCATGGCATACCAATCCCTGGCCTCACCCCTTCCACCCCACCACCTCTGCCCTGGCCCCTCCTCTGGCCTTGCCTCTCCCCAGGACTATCACCCCAGAACCCTACCTGCTTTCCTGACTCCCATCTTGCCCCGCTGCACCCTGTAGCGCAGGGGGGGTCTTTCTGACACTCAGCCAACCCAGGCTGGCCCCAATTCGTAGCCACCTGCAGCTCTTGAGTGTCCCCAGGAAAAGCCTCCAGCCACTCTGTTTGGAATCTAATCCATCCCACCCAGGCCTGGCACCTGCCCACCTCTCTCAGCCCTCCATCCGTTATGCTCGGGCTCCAGAAGCATCGACTAATTTGCTCCTCAGGACACCCCAAGGTTCCTCCTGCCACACACATTCCTTTCCTGTCTCTGCACCTGGATCACCACTTGCGTCCTTCCTTCCCGGCCTCCCTGCCTCCTGCCTCTCAAAAGACTCTGCTGAGCCTAGACGGCTCAGAGGCCTCTGCCCGGCCTGCCGGGCACCCTCTCTACCTCCACAAGCACTCATGGTCCCTGGAGCTCTGCCTGCTGCCTCCACATCTGCCTGGAGCCAGGCTACACCAGACTGCCTGACTCACCGCCAAGGCCCTGGCCTCACCAGCCTGGGGCCTCAGGGATGTCTGTTGAAGCGAGAGCAAGGACAGAGATGTCTCCCCCCATCTCCTGCCCAGTCCTGGGGGATGTCAGTGACGGGAGCCGGGGCGTGTGTTAAAAGGAACTTTATTGGGTGTCGGGGGTTCAGATGAGGTCCATGAGGATGTCGTCCTCCATGACGCTGGGCTGCAGGCCCGGCTGGGGGACCGGGCCCCGGGGACCCCCGCTCAGCAGCATCTGACCTGGGGGGCAGTGGGGAAGGGACTGCATCTCCCAGTAGTCCCTGGGGCCCTGGAGGGCCCTGGGCCTGCTTCCTCCCTCCTCCTCTGGAAGCCCAACGCAGAGTTGTCTAGGAAGTCCTGGGTGGACCCATGGAAGTGCCTTCTGACCCCATGTGACCATAGAGATTCTGTTTCCCATGAGCCTTTGGGAACCCATCCCCCAATGTATCTCTCTGGCCCTAAGACTACGTTTCCCAGTGATCCCAGGAAGACACGCAGGAGGGAAATCAGGAGAGCTCTGGCCTCCTTGGTTCTTGGTCCCCTGGGCTGTATTTCCCAGGAGCCTTTAGAGCCCTCAAGAGCCATGGGGCACCCGCTGTTCTTGAATCCTAGGACTTCACGTTCAAGAAGTCACTGGCTTTGGGGCTCCAGCCCAGGGGCTGTGGGGACACTCAGTCCAAACCCCAGCCTCCCCCAAGCCCCCTTACCTGGCAGTGGAGCCCTCGGGGGAAGCTGAGCAGGCCAGGACTGGGTGGGCGGCGGGTGCAGGAGGGGGGGCCCCAGCTGGGGCTGCCCCAGGCCCTGGTGTGGTGGGGGCAGCAGTGCAGGGGCCCCTGGTGGCTGGAGGTGGTGGAGAGACGCCTGGGGTGGGGGCACCCCAGTCTGCGGCTGGAAGAGCAAAGAAAGTGGCTCAGAGGCCCTTGGTGGAGAACCCCCTCACCCTCCATTCAAAGGAATCTTAGCAGAAATCTACGTAAGACACATAGGGAGGAGCCAGGTGGGGCTCCACTCACACCCTCCAATCAAACCAACCTCCCTTCTCTGAGATGAAAGGAATGAAACTGTCAGGGCTGGAGACCCACAGCTCCCATCTGCCCCCCACCCTCAAGTCTCACCGGTGGTGGGTTGAGAAGGAGGCTCCGCAGCTGGGGGTTGGCCCCAGGGTTTTGGGGCCGAAGGATGGGTCCAGGAGGAGGTGGGCCAGGGGCTGCTCCAGGAGGTCCTTGTGGGGCGCCTGGGGGGGCCTGGGTGGCACCCTGGGGCTGAGGCTGCCCTGCAGCTGCTGAGGCCCCCACGGAACCCTGAGGCTGGGGCTGCGGTGGGCGGAGCTGGAGCTGAGGGGAAGAGACGGGGGTGAGGGACGGAGTGCCCAGACACCTCAAGCTCTGTGGTCAGGTCAGAATCACAGCATCTTCTGGGGCCTCCCCCACCCTGGCCCTGACCCCACTGGCCCTGTCCTCACCAGATTCTGCGAGGGCCTTGCCTGGTCCTCCAGAATGGGGCCCAGCCCAGGGGGTGCCTGCTGTGCCCCCATCTGTGCGAGGAGAGAGGGCGCAGATCAGTGACTGAGTGGGAAGTCCCCATGTCGGGGCAGATCTGGGCCCTGGAAGGGAACCTGTCAGGAGCTGGGCATGTTTTCTTTGGGGGTGGGGGGTTCCCAGGTCCCCAAGAGGGGACTGTGTTTCAGAGCTTGGACAAGAACACTAGAAAGGGAGAGAAAGGTTGCAAGGAAATAAGGGGAATGGGACTGAACTCAGCACTGGAGCCCTGGGTGGGCCCCAGGAGGCCTGGCTGTGAGCACCAGGGCCCACGTAGGTGGGTCAAACATTGGGGTGCAGCTCACCCCGCGCTGCTGCTCCAGCTTCTGCTGCTGGACTTGCTTGTGGTTGGTGATGACCTGCCGGATGCCGTTGACAAAGCCACTCTGGTCGTAGGGGATGAGGCCCATGAAGATCTTCTTCTTGGACGAGTACAGGAGCATGAGCACACGCACCTCGCAAGGGGCCGTGTGGGGGAAGTGCACGCAGCCCGCCTGCCAGGGGACAGTGGAAACCAGTCACACCCTGGAAGAGGGGGTTCCCCACCCTGATGGGTTTTAGAAGGTTCTAGAAACCCCGCAGGCCAGGCGCGGCAAGGTTCCTGCTCTAGAAGGTTAACGAGGCTTGAGGTTTGGCTGGAGGCTGCTCCAGAGAGCTGGGCACCCAAAGGCATAGGGTGAGGCTGAGTTCCGGGTGGAAGAGTAGAGAAGTGGAGCCCCATCCTGGCCCCCCATCCTCACCTCAGCCGGTGGACTGCCCTCTTCCAAGCACCACTGGGGGGGTTCATGGCTGAGAGGGAGGGGCCTCAACACAGAGCTGCCACCCAAAGTGTGTGATCCATGGTGGTAGCAGATACTGTGACCAGCCCAGGGACCCAAGAGACCCTTGAGGGCGCCATACCCATCTCGGCCTCAGCATCCGCAGTGAGAACCACGGGGAGCAGGGCCAACATCACCAGGCAGCTGTGACTCTGGGACACGCCAACATACACCAGGCATCCTGCCCACGGGTGGACACACCACAAGTGCCCGGGAAATACTAACGAACGTGAGATGAGGCTGCTAATACACAGGGTGTTCAGAAGAGGGACTCGCAGGGGCAGAGGGTCTGACAAGACTGAGGTCCCTCCTCAAGGACCTTGGCCAAGTGAGTTTATGTCCTCTGGCCTTGGCTTCTCACCCAAGGCAGACCCTGCTAGGTGCCCACCCAATGTCCCTCTGCCTGTCTCCCCTGCGTAGAGAACCCTAATTTTGTCTGGGTAGCAACATGTCCGGGCCCTACACACACGGGCGGGAACCTGTTCCCTGGTGGCTTCCTATGCCACTCGGGGTGGCCTGGTGGCCTGGGTCTGGCCCAGGAGATGGAGGGAAGCCTGCTTGAGGGAGTGGCAGTGCTTTCCTGAAGAAAGGGAAATACAGGGCTCATGCCACGCCTCCTTCCTGCCTTCCTACGTCAAGTCATACAAGACTTTTCAAGCTTCGAGAGCCATCTTAGGACCAAGAGAGAGAAGCCAAGAGAACCACAGAGACCTTGGCCCTGATGTCACAGGGCTACAAGACTAACCCTGAGAGCTGCCGCCTCTGGACGTCTTGTTACATGTCGCAAATAAATACCTGTTCGTACAATGCTCACTCTGGGAACATTCCTCTCAGAACCTGGCTGCTATGCTATGATGAAGCCCAAGGCACACTGGGAAGCCACACGTAGGCACTCGGATGGCCAGGCCCAGGTGAACCCCAGCTGCCAGGCAGCACCACGTGCATGGGCTATCTTGGAGCCAGTTGAGCTTCCAGATGACCACGGTCCCAGCCGCCAATTGATGGCGATCCCGCAAGAGTCCCCAAATGAGACCAGCCCAGCTGACACACAGAACTGTGAGAAATAACAAACTGTTGTTTTAGGCCCTACCCCCACCCACACCATTATCTGTACTGTTCTAAAAACTCTGCTGGTTGGGTGTATTGTGATTTGCAGCCAGAAGCATTCGTAAGTCTCAGAAACGCTTTCTTTGTAGGATTTTCCGGAGGATTCTCTAACGTAATCCACCGAAAATCCCCTCTCCTGGAAAAGTGCCAGGTCCTCAGGATAGACTCAATAACTGGTTCTGTTCCTATTTAGAGAGAGGCTCCCTCAGTGTTAACAAGTTGAACTGTCTCCTCCAAAAAGACACGTCAAGGTTCCAAACCCCAGCACCGGTGACCATGACCTTCTTTGAAAACAGGGTGTTTGTAGATGTAACAAGTTAAGGTGAGATTATGAAAGTGAGCCTTAATCCAAATGGCTGGTGTGCTCTAACACAGGGACATACACAGGGAAGAGAACATTAAGACACGGACAAGGAAGACGGCCACGTGAGGACGGAAAGAGACGAGTTTCGTTGCCTAGAGATGATCCTGCCTGGGGCCACGAGCTACAGGAACAAGGGTCTCCCCTAGAGCCCTCAGCAAGCATAGCCCTACGAACACCCCAATTTCATTCAGCCTTCTCATTTCCAGGAGGGCGAGAGGACACATTAATATTGATCTCAGCCCTGGGAAACCAATACACCCAGCAAACCCTGCCAGAGCCCAGAGCTTCCGCCTAATTGTTCCTAACTGTCATATACCGAGATCCGGTGTCTACTATAATGATAAAAAAGGTTAAGGCCTTAGAGGAAGGCTGAGGAGCCCAAGGCCACAAAAGCAGCCATCAAAAGCGGCTCCCTCGGGCCCAGGAGGACGGGAGGGGCCACCCGCCCGGCCGCCCGCCTGGCCCACTCACGAAGCCGTTGCCCATGATGCGATAGAGGCCTTTGAGGGAGTCCAGGTCCTTGTTGGTGAAGTGGAACTGGACCATCCTTGAGTTCCGGAACAAAGGGCCCAGGGTGGTCTGCGGGAGACACGGAGGTCACCGGCGTGCCGAGTAGGGATGTGAGGAGTGGAGGACAGAGGCAAAAGAGGGCGGGTGGCTGTCCTCCGCCCGCCACTCACCAGCAGCTGCTGCGGGATGAGCTGCATGATCAGCTTCTGGGGCCACTGCTCTGTTTTCCTGGGGGGGGGGGCGGCGACATCGGGAGTGGTGTCAGGGAGAGGCGCATCCCAGCCCACCCCACCCACTGGCCGCCACCTACAGGTTCTCGCCATGATTCACGTAGACCTGGCAAGGCAGAGATCGGGTCAGCTTGGTGTTGGCATCCACGGAGGCAGGTTTGGGCTTCTGAGGGGGAAAGAAGGGCATGTCAAGGTGAAGACGGGCCCTGAGCCTCAGTCCCCTTGACCTCTTCTGCCCTGCCCTGGGAGCTCCAAAGCTCAGGATCTCCCCCAGTTTAAGTCCCATGAGCCCTGAACCCCTCCACCAGTCTGTCAATCCCACATTCTCCAGCCTTCAACTTCCACCAATGCTGGGGCTCCTCCTCTCACCCCTAAATCCCACAACCCTTTGTCCCCTAGATGCCACAATCCCCTGGGCCCCTCCCTAGACCCAGAATCTCAGACTTCTCTGGGCTCTTGACCTACAACATGACTTTTACTACCTCCCAGGTCCTGGACTCTGGGCTCCAAGTCTCATGCTTCCTTGGAACTATCCTCAGGACTGCAAGTCCCATGACCCCATGGAGGTGCTGTCCTGGCCCTGCACCCCACCAGGCCTGGCCCCATGGAGCCACATGCCTACTCACCTCCTGCCATTCAAGGACCCCGCTCCAGGCCAGGAGTTTATTGGAGACTGACTGCTGCCCGCCGAGGGCTGGGGCCCCGAGCTGGGCTGGAGAAGGGCCGCTCACTCCGCCTGGGGCCACGGTG